TATCTATCTATCTATCTATCTATCTATCTATCTATCTATCTATCTATAAGGGTTAGGTTACACATGTAGCATCCATTGATGCTACATGCTAGCTAGCTAGCTAACTAGTTATCTATCTATCTATCTATCTATCTATCTATCTATCTATCTATCTATCTATCTATCTATACTTAAGGGTTAGATTACACATGTAGCATCCATTGATGCTACATGCTAGCTAGATAGTTAACTAATGGACTGATGTGGTCCTGGTTCCTGGTTCTGAACCGGACTGATATGGTCCTGTTTCCTTATTCTGGATTAGTCTTTCTGGGTTTGGTTTAGACTCTGTTCCTCTGATTCTGGATGTTTTTTAGATGGTAAAAAGCTTCTGATTTCACTGATTTAATGTGTCTGTTAAAGTCCCGTCTTTAATCAAAGCCTCGATTAGTACTCTGGATAGTTTCAAAACCGCGGACGTGTTGCAACGACCTGACATCTGATCACACGGGAGTCAGACACAGAAACATGTGGCCTCATCTGCGTTTCCTGTTTCTGATAAGAATCAGCAGGTTTTTACACGTAAAGCTGCAAAAAGTCTAAAAACGGAACAGAAACCGAGCCGAAGCGAAAGAGCTGCGATTTCCCGCGGCCCCTGAAGGCAGCACAGAGGGTAGATACACTCACGGAGTTGGTGAAGGTGGCCCCCGCCTCCCCGATCAGGGCTCTGGTTTTCACCAGGGGAGTCTGCAGAGACCAGAGCAGACAGAGGTGTTAGAACCGGGCTATAATTACTCATTTTAGCACAATATGTTATCACTTAATCCATGTATGTAAATGTATGTAAATGCAAATCCATCTATGTAAATGACTGTCTTATTCCTTTTTAGATATCATCATATTATCATCATATATCATCATATTTCATATTATTCCCTTTATAAATATACTTTTGGGTTAAATTATCTACTCCTCCTCCTAGCTTTTTTCATTTTAATTTTAAAACAGAAACGAGACAGAAATAATTTTTTAAAAAGCCATGTTACATCAAACTTCTGACTTACATCTGACACAAGAATGAGTCTAAAGAATGAGCCGACGTGCCAGAAGAGAGGGGTTAGAACCGGGCTATAATTACTCACTTTAGCACAGTATGTCATAACTTAATCCATGTAAATGACTGATTGTCTTATTCCTTTTTAGATTTATATTATTCCCTTTGTAAATATACTTTCGGGTTAAATTCTGTACTCCTCCTAGCTTTTTTCATTTTAATTTTGGATTTTTAATCCCTTAAATACCAGTTTGATTACATGGTGTTCAAACAATTTAACATCTAATATATAAGAAACAAAATGGTGGTGAATATTTTGATGAACTTCAAACATTTAATAGCAGTTTTATCCAATTTTCTATTCTTATAGCCCCACATCTTTAATATAGCACATCTTAAAACAGCACAGTTCTCCACAATTATAAGAAAGTAAGAAAAATATTGTAAATAATAATATAATAATAAAAATAATGTAAATTTTAGAGCGTAAAAGAAGATTCAAACCAATAAAGATTTTCCTTATTTAGATGTTTAGCTCCTTTAAAGTTGAAAGTGGAGGTTCAGGTGGGTTTTTTTTTATTAGGGAAAAGGTCAGTGGTGTCATCAGTGCTCTCATCAGTGATGTCATCAGTGATGTCATCAGTGTGCGACGGACAGTGAAGGACACCTGCTCTGAATTCAGCTGAATGAGCGTCACCAGTTTGATTTAGACCCCAAAAAGAACAGGAATGTGGCAGAAGAGTGGACTAAAAAACTACAAATCTCATCTTATCTTCCTCAAACTGTCCCAAATAAAGTTAGTTATTAAAGCTCTAACACAGAAATGCCTCTTTTTAAACGAGGCTGCACGTGGAGAGACGTTCTCATTGGCTCTGCAGAGGTCAAAGGTCAGCCCAATGAGGTGCCAATCAAAAGGATCAGGACCTGACCGCCTCTAGCCAAACACACGGAGCTCTAATCCAACAGGATTTATTTATTTACGTTGTTTATGACCATTAACGTGACGTTATCCGTGAACTGCTAGCTGCGGCTAATGGCTAATAACAACATGCTACCATTAGTCAAGTACATATCTAACTCCGCCCACATCTAAGTCGGCCATTTTGATTAGGTCACCAATAGGAAGATCCGAGGCAAGAAAATCCTAATTGCTTCATGGCAATATAGACATTAAGTTAAAAATAGTGAAATGAATCTTTCAAACACATAATAAAACTCTATCCATAATATGTTAAAATAGTGGTTGTTAAATAGGTTTGTACAATAAGTCCAAACGAGTTTAACCAAAAAATATTTATTTCTCATAATTGTGAAGGGTGGAGGGTTAGGGTTAGGGTTAGGATTAGGGTTAGGGTTAGAGTGTGGGTTAGGGTTAGGGTTAGGGTCATTAATGTGGGCCACCATAACATCAGTAACAGGTCAGTTTGAAACCAAAGACACTAACCTGTCAAAATTCAGTTAAATTTTGGGGTCTTTGTTTTTATCCTTGTGGTATCGAAAATGCTATCGAATATTTTCCTGAGTATCGGTATCCAGTTGAAAATTTTAGTATCGTGACCGACTATTTTCCACACATTTGACTTTCTCTGGATCTTCTGTGGTGCTCTTTTCCTGTCAGAACTGAGCAGATATCCATCAAAAAATGGACCCTGCTTTCCTCCAAGTGTCTTTTCATGGCATCCAAACACCCAAAAAACGCCACCTTCCTGCTTCTGTCTGCTCTTCTGAACCTCTTTTTGGGCCTCAGGCTTCCACTACAGGCCAGAAAAACCCTCTGGCTTCTCTTTGTTGCGGTTTGTGGTTCAGTTTTTTCAGCGGAAAGCAGAAGCGTGATGGTGACAGCTGCCAGCCACCCACCTAAAACTCTGGAAACGCTGCTAAAAACGACTTTCCTTCTAATAAAAACCACCTTTAACCTCCCACTAAGCTGTCTGGCTTCTCTGTGGAGGGAAAACGCGACTTTTCTGGAGCTTTTCTGCTCAGATATGAAATATTTCATAATTATCGTGGCTCTATTTTTCTTAAATGAACATATTACATTTAATTTCTCACGTTTCTTCCATCTCTATCTAATTTTTGTTCATTAATGAGGAAAAAGTTTGGAATTAGTGGTCACCTGCTTCCATTTTTGGCTCCAAAACTCCAATTATGTAATCTTAATTTGTCGTTTATCCACCAGATTCCTTGTTTTTTGGTTCAATTTCAACAATCTGGTTTTGTCATTCATTCTCTTATAATCTGATGACCAGTTGAGGGAATGAAACATGGAAGTTGAAGGCTCTTTCTTGGCTTAATTTCTGGATAAATAGTGATAAATAGTAATAAAGTGGCGCTAAAACTCATCCTAGGAAGTTTTAAAGTCCGGATCGTGGAAACTAGGACCAATCAGGTTTTGTAATCATTCTCCTATAATCTGATGACCAGTTAAGGGAATGAAACATGGAAGTTGAAGGCTCTTTCTTGGCTTAATTTAGGTGGTAAAGTGACGCTAAAAAACTCAACCTAGGAAGTTTTAAAGTCTGGATCGTGAAAACTTCCCAAAAAAGGTGCGTTTTTCCGGTTTTGTAATTCATTCTCCTATAATCTTATGACCAGTTGAGGGAATGAAACATGGAAGTTGAAGGCTCTTTCTTGGCTTAATTTAGGTGGTAAAGTGACGCTAAAAAACTCAACCTAGGAAGTTTTAAAGCCTTGATCGTGAAAACTGGGCAAAAAAAAAGGTGCGTTTTTCCACGCTACACGTGCAAAAACTACCCAAAAAAAGGTGCATTTTTCCACGCCACACGTGCAAAAACTACCCAAAAAAAGGTGCGTTTTTCCACGC